GATGATGTACGTATATCATTAATTATTGTTTGATGATGTGCGAGGACAATTGACCATATTATTAATTCAAATGTATAAACTATGAAACACATTTGTACTGTTGAATGATAACCACCATTTTTCAATGTTTTTAGATTTATCACTCATCCAAACAGTATGGTACAGATGATATCCATACGTCAGGGGGGTACTTTCATATGGCAAATGTTTTCAACAGACAGAATAAACTGGACATTGCATTTTCACTATACAACCAGGTATGACAACTTGCTATTGTAAGATTTCAATACTTAAATGTRTAAGTCAAACATCAAATATCTCACTAAGRCCAAACATAYGTACATACTCYCCTCCCCTCCCACYATCCCTTTCCCCAACCCCTCCCCCGAGGGTCTATTACATTAGTTAGTTGACTTGAGTTTTCATGTTGAAGGTCACAGACATATGGTATGAACATCTAAGCCGTTTAGTCGCCCAAAGAACCAAAACTCCTGCAAAGCCTTCTGGGATAGGGCCAGCATTCAAGTCTGGGATGCCAACAGACTTTGAAGTATTAGGTGGGTGTGCGTACACCAGCTATAGTGTTGGAAACAACAGACCCAGTAGCTTTTCCATACAATACAAACCGGAAATAAGAATTTTTGTTTCTAAGAATTCAACTTGAAATATAACAAGCAATGAAACTTACTGTACTTCTCGGTGGTGGGAATTGGAAACATATGAAATGGGCCGTTGGRTTTGTGCTATGGAAACATATTGGCTGATTGCTTCCTCAATTTTCTTTTAAACTCCAGGAGAGGCCCAAGAAGCAGAAGCCATCCAAGTCATCCATGCTATACTAGAGCTGCGTGAACAGCAAAGTGTTCAAAGTCCATCTGTAATGTTTAAAATATACCTCACTATTGCAATGTTAYATTTTGTACTTGGTGACATGGCTAAGGTAAGGTCGGGATAACAGCAATAATCATGATGATTTAAGTGAAATGAAACACACATTTCTCTCCTTTATTCTAGTCTCAAGACTTTGGTGTCAAGGCCAGAACATCGTATGAAAATGTGGTGTCTGGAGATGACACWTCTATGAAGAAAGTTACTGAGTTCCTCAACGCCGTGGAAAGATCGCTTACTGTAATAAGTTGACATGCGAGCTTCAAGCCAATGTGGACAAAACTATGTTTTAATAAAAATATGTATGATATAATAAAAAAATAAACAAATAAAGACGTAAAAACCGCTCTGAAATCTTTGGAAATTAAAATTAAAAAGATTAAAAGCAATTGTTGTAAACTTGCTTCTAGGAATTTCGTCCCTATGTAGCTGGGAAAACATTCTTGTTCTTGTGGCATATAAAGCGCTGATGATTGAAATATATCGCTTTCTTATTTGCGCAGTCTTAACCTTAAAAGCGTCCAAAATATAATTTTATATCATATCAAAGCATATTGTATTGCAAATAACTCTGTAACGAAAACAACAAAACTTTGCGTGCAATTGAGGCTAAAGCTGTGTAAAAGGGATTTTGAGTGGTGCATTGGCMACACCATAACATAGAACAACGAATTACCATTCAAGCGCATTGTGCGAACACGAAACACTTTAGAAACGCGAGGTCCAGGAAGATAGGTTGGAACTTTCCATTAGAGTAGAAGGAAATGTATTTATCATGGATTCTAGCGCATAGAGTGCGCTTGTACGTTGTTGTTTTTGCTAAGTGGTCATGGTTCATTAGCGGGACGCTATTATATGAGGTAATGAGAGGATAGAATATTCATTCGCGTCCAAAAAATTAAACACCCCATAAAGCGTAGTTTCGATTGGGATTTTATTCATATGCAAGTTAACTAAAGTGAAAAGCTTACTAAAAAAGAATGAGATTCGGACTTCTAGTCTGGAAAAACTAATAGCATAATTAAAGAGGTTTCGAGTTCGGCATCATTTTTTTGCTACATCACAAGCACGTAGCACATGTGGAAGCACTGCACTATCTGCACACTATTAAACCGATAAGATGTCTATTTTTGCACCACCACACTTAAGCACTTTATATATAAACTGCTCAATTGTAAATTCGTTAACGAAGTTTGATAAAGGCACGCACGTCTATCGTGTGGGCACACTCCTATAAGTCTGTGTATTTATTACATGATAAATGTTTTATATTCGGTTGAGCGGGGGAGCGAATTAGAATATAAGTTGATAACTTATGAGTCAAATTTAGACAGTGCAAATCGTTAATGTCAGGAGAGAACAGAATATCAAAAAAAAAATAGAATATTTATTAAACAGAATATAAAAGAAAATAACATTTAGCCTGCTACTTGTTTAAAAACAACGCAAAACTACAACAGATATTAAAATGATATTCAAGTGACGAGATATCGAAAAGGCCACCATGAAAGTAAATTATTTACTGAATATGTGGACAATCACTTTCTATCGGCCTTAAGCTTGGTGACGCTAATTAGTGGCAACAAATTAAAACTCTAGCTTTCCTTTATTTGAGTATCTTTTTTAGACGTAATAACTGCTGAGTTACTATGCCAACAGGTTGGTTGTTGTGAAAAATGTTTGCCAATTATTGTACGATTAAAATGACATATTTGCTGATTGAATTTGTAGCTGACGCGATTGAACAAGCTATTAGTATACACATTATTGCAGAGCAAAACATAAAARACATACTTATTGTAAAATGACAAATTTTCTTCCAACCAGGAAACGTCCATACATTTTCCTTTTTCGCCTTCAGTGTGAGTGCATGAATGATTTTTCATTTTGTCTCTTTTTGTTGGGAACTTTCTAAGAATTTTTGMCAGGAACATAAAAATTTCCTTAAAAAAATATAAGCCGTTTTTGACCATAAAAACGTTTTACAAACCTTTTCTGACCTTAAAACGTTTGCCAGAAACAAAATTGTTTTAAAGGAGCTCGAGCCAGGAATGGCGCAACACTCTGAAGGGCGTCAAGGAAAAAAAATCGTACAAGAACAGTTATTTAGAAGAAAGACCCCGTTGGCTCCTCCTGCAAACTAGTTTGAAGCATTGAATAAAGCAAGTAAAACAACTCGGACCCTATAAACCTTAGTATAGCTACATGTCTACATGTACACTGTCAAAGTTTTTCATCCTTAGCTTGGATAAGTCATACACCACCTTTTCACCCCAATTATAACGACCAGTGTTATCACTTTGATTTGTGTTTGTTATGGAAACCAATCCCGTTAGCTTGGAATGCAAATCGTTTTTTTTTTATAAGCTCACATTGTTTCGCAGTAAATATGCGACACGCGATTAGTGTGCGGATCATCTGTGGAGTTTTTCTTGTTTTAACTCCACTACAGTTTACTTTTTATAGTTTWTTCAGAGGTTATTGCAACTTGGAACAGTCGCAAAGTCGTTTCACATCCTCAACAAGCAAACCACCAATCATTAGAGCAAAAAGAATCGTTTACCTCGTACAGGTTCCTAAGTGTTTAACAAAGACATTGTTACAAAACGATTATTTGGGTAACTCCAGTAATCATGATGTTATTGTGSTTAGTTTCAAAGCYGAATGCATGGACGATAGTTCGGAACATGTAGARTACATTCACGGTCAGAACATCACATGGAATGAAGGACGAAATGTACTTTATCGTAGAGCACAGGCAAGGAACCTTCCATATTTGTATTATCTCTTCTTAGATGATGACTTACARTTTGATTACCATCCCAAATACGCATCAACTGTGTTGAAATCTAAGTCTCCTTTACGTAGCTTTGAAGCTTGGCTCTTATCACATGAACCTGCGATTGGTGTTACAAACTACCAAGAGCACCATAGTGCTGACAAAACCATTCAAACWATCAAGAAGATTTGTACTGATGCTAGGATAACATCATCACCGCAATATATTCCCATAGTTCACTTTGATGCTAGTTTCAACGCCTTTCATCGTAATGTAATCCACTATATTCTACCATACATTACCACGTACGACAACGTATGTTGGTGGCACAGCCAAAGGTTTGTCATTGCTGCTGCAGAGTTGATGTTTCGTGGCCATACGATCATGTTCACGCCTGTTGTGACAAAGAACCCATTTCACGGTGATTATCCCAGGAACGATCAAGATAGCAACAAGGTGTGGTCAGCCATGGTGCGAAAAATGATCAACAATCGAGTTCCAAAAAAATATCACAGTCAAGAATGGATTCAAGAATTTATTAAGGATCCTAAGGAACATACTGAGACATCACAATCATTGTGTATGAAATTACCATCCCATCATCCGATCATCCCCTATTCCCATTTCACTTTGAATGAAAAGAAATGAGAATCTCACGCAAAGTATTAACTTAGCATCATGTATCATTGTATAAGATACCGGCGACACATCTTTTGGATCTGGGGGTCTAACGACCGTCAAAGACGGGAGTATTAAAGGAGTCTCGACCTCTCCCAGAAAGTTTTAAAACAGGGTCTGAATGGGGTTAACCGACTAGCGACAAATGGACAAAATAACTACTGACTAGCGACAAATTTGAACAAAATTTGCTGACTACCGACATTAACAAATTTACTGACTGGCGACATTTTCCAATATTCAAAGATGTTAGCTCCGTGAATACAAGCTTTTTTTTTATTTTTTTCAAGCAACTACATTCGAAATTTTCCGCGGAAAAAATAAATTTTGCTTCGGATTGGCTTCTTGAAGTTGTGATGAGCCACTTTAAAACTTTGAGGGGCATCCAATTGACCAATCAAGACTCAATTCAATTGTTGGCATTTTAGAAAGAATTCTGTTGGTATAAAGCACCGTTTTAGATGCATTTAAACTTAATGTTTATCAGCTTTTTTTAAATAACCGACTACCGACAAATGCCTAGAATTGTAACTGACTAGCGACAAATGCTTGAAATTTTAACTGACTACCGACATTGAGACCCCCCATTAAGACCCTGTTAATATAATAACTCTTGGAAATGCGATATCCAGCGTTTTGACAGACATCGAGGGCATATAAAAGGGATCAATTTTATGTTGATTTTTCAGTAATTTTAGSGAAAATTTTAAATTTCCTAGCAACTATATAGTACGCACGTGSGTATATGCGTAAAGGACGCTATGCGCCTGAAAAGATATTGATCTATCTAGCGAGGAAACACAGCAATAAAAATGAACATACCRAAACATCTACATGTTCTATCAGAATAGAACGTGGAAATTATCRAAGAAAGATAGCAGAACCGCAATGGACTATGGGTAGTTAATTTAGAAGAATATAGAGACAGAAGYAATTTCGAGTAATAAAAAGCTATCAAATTATGTCAACTGAAAGGGAATGATTGTGGCATTAATCATACAATGTATGCAGAAATTGTAACATATAATAATGAAAAATATTTTATAAAACGGCAATTCTTAAAATGCGGAATTAATTATGCGTTAATCGGTCGAACAGCAGTCATAACGTGTTACCATGACGACGCAAATGTAACAACTCCGTTGATGTACTCAAGCATTTTCTGTAGAGAATTTGACATTGACAAAGCCTAAACCAATCGACGAGAAGTAAAGTCCTTCACTATCATCCCGCATCTGGACTGGAAAAAGGTGTTTTGTAAATAAATACCCCAGCATGCAGTTCGTAACTGTGAAGTCATAACAACAGGCAATCAATCGGCTAATCGTTGTTTAAAGCTTTAAAACCGAGAAACTCGCTATTTGTGAAGATTCGTACTCACAAACGGACCATAATGTAAGGAAATGATCCTCATTGAATCTATAGTGAARTCATGTGGCTTATTTACGAATTTTTACATGGTTGGCTGGCGTGATTGTAGCCAGAAGAGCTTTTTCATGTAACAAATCCCATCATATTAATGGGGGCCGGTTGCTCTCATACTGTAGTCACACTGAACGAGAATAGATCAACGAGTCCTTCGTCCAACGGGCCCTCAATCACGCAGACTACGAGCACAAAAACGATCCAGTCACCAAATGTGTGAGTAAAACTACCTTGTAAAGGTTTGCCTYTAAAATTGGCAAAGAGCGGGAAAACGTGATGTGATTAATTTCTCAACTACATTCCTCTCGATTTCGGAATCCTATTTTAATCGGTCTATAGTTGTTTTATTAGATGAAAAAACGTCTCTTTTCATCTTATTCACTGTCATATTCATTTGCATTTTAGTTTGTATTTGACGCTAAATCGTCTAAAATTTTCCTTTCAGACTTCAGATCTGTTYGTTTACAGGGAAAGGTTATACCTTTTTCATGTTTTCGACTATTTARTCCTTGAGGAAAACTACGGTTTTTTTGATATGCTGCTTCAGCCCAGCCAACATTCAATATTTACTTTTTGTTGTCGACTTTCATCTCATCTATATTCACAAGATTGTCTTTTTCTYGATATTGCTCGGCCTGTTTTCTATTTCACCAAGAATTAAGGCTTGGATATTAATAAAACAAATTGTAGTTTTAAAAGATATACATAAAGGAAATCACCAGTATTACAATATTTTCTGGGTATGTACCATACTTCGTGAGCCATAATTTCCTTTCATATTTTTGTTTTGTTTTATAGAAAGGAGAATTGAATATCAAAACACGGACGTTACATGGTTTTAGCTTTGTCAAGGTTTTTAAGACCTAATAAATATCAGAATACAGCATMATATACACAAACAACAAGGGATATATCCTTGCCTCTCGCAGGGAAGAAAACAGAATGCGGTTATTSTTGTATATAGCTTGGTACATAAAACGAAAACGTGTCTCTATGGCAACGTTAGGTGTTAAATTTACTAGGTCCTTTCAACACCAAAGAAATAAAGATATATTCAGAAAGGGGCAGGGAAGGAGTTAGAATACGATAAATGTCTAATTTATAAATACAGTTAGTAAGAATTTTAGAGATACTCAAATGAGATATTGCATACGACCAGCTGGTTTGGTAAGCAACCAGCGAATAATTAGAACGAGTATGATATATGTTGACTTGTGAGAAGTCGCGCTGAGAAGGACCGCTCATTACTCTCCCCTTGCAGAGCAGGATTTCATGGTACAAAGTGGCTCTTCATACGATGGTGTTCTCTTCGTTTTAGTTATTTTTTTTTCTCTCATTCACATTCAAGCATCTCTAAGATTTTCATTAGTCGGCAGTCAGTAAAGTAGTTTGACCTAGTTTAAATGGGGAACTCAAATTAAATAGCACTTTGAAGAGTGTTTTAATGAAAAAAAAACTAAAATCTGGAACTATTAGGTTATGACTTCCAGTTGGCTGCATAAACGCCGTGACACACGACAGGTGCAAAAGAAAAGTACAATTGGCATTTCGTGCAAATGAAACTCCACTATAACACAAAATACCATTAAATATTAATACCTAGGAAAGGATTACACTTACAGCAGCATCATGCTTGCACAATTATAACCTATACATACGTTATGAATAGAAATGAGGGATACGACAAAAACATTCATGTTCGCATGCTAATGTCAWATAGCAATCAATATTCTCAAGAACTCAGCTCTTAACAATACATCAGTTACAGCWCGCCTACACTCCACGGGAAACATGGCACAATGATATGAAAGAATGATCTGWTTTAAAATGTTTTTACTTCTGCTGAGCTAATGGAATATACAAGTCAAACCTGCATATTGCCATTACYATTTAAACTTCTTTATCGGTCGGTCTGCTTCCGTTAAATAGGCGTTATAATTACGTTTTTTATCATTGAAGGCGCTAGGAGGAAAGGAACAATTTCTAGAATACGGACATCGAGTAATGAAAAGCCAATTTATCCACTACGACAATGTCAACAAATCAAAGACAAACCACCGCTTTGCCTTAATTACTCTGTCGAGAAATGACGAGGAAAAAAAGATAATTGAAATTATAATAATGAAAAATATCTCATTGCAACTGCTACCGCTATCAAACTGAAGCACCGATACCACTGACGTCGCTACAATGTACCAAACTACCAACATTACCACAATTACCACTATACTACCAAACTACCTCCACTGTCAAGCGACCACTGCCACAACTGCCACTTGTACTCACTAACACTCAGTAACCGACATYTCAACCACTGCCTAACCACCGCTAACACTATCAAGCTAGCACTGCTCTTCATCGACCAGCGGTATATGATGTTAATCAATGATCAACAATAAGTCTAAACAATTGTAAGCTCCTACTCCATCTTAGTTGGAGCCGACGGGTTCTTGCGGGAGAAAAATAACTCTTCTTATGTCTTAACCAGCAGTAGGTCACAGTTGGCTGCCAGCGAGTAATTCAGGAAAAAAGAACTCTCCAGGATACTTTCTAAGAATTTTTGCCACGGAAAATAAAGATATCCTAACTAAAAAAATAAAAGGCGTTTTTGACCATAAAAGCGTTATATAAGCCTCATTCTAAACGCTTGTCAAGAAAAAAATTATTTTAAAGAAAGAAGGGCGCCACGTTTGCTTGTGAGATCGTCATTAATGTCGGCTCAAAATCCCTTTCCCAGGAAAAAATTTGTACAACAACACTTATTTAAAATAACAGACCCCGTCGGCTCCTCCTGCCATCTTAGCACGGCAGAACATCATTGAGAAAATTTAATTACGACCCGGCAAAATTGTCATTAAACTCGACTGTTCTAAAGAGACAAACATTGACTTATTAAACAGACTCGTAATTGGTGCGCCGTCGTCTCGTAGAAGGATTGYACTTATACATATAGTAGTAAATGAGGTCCCTTAATGGCCTTAATGGTGACCAATATATTTTACGTTACGAGCAATGATCACGGATTCAATTTCCCTCGATTTTTTCCTGCCTATTTCTAGTTTTTCATTATAGTGATTTAGAAATATATTTTTTTTTCAAAAGTGTAGTGGTTTTGAATCGAAATGTAAGCAACATTAAAGCTTTTCTGATGGTGTTGAAAATGATAATGATGACAAGGMATCATAAGTTAGATCACAGCGATCGGACCTTTGGAAATACACTTCCTGTATTTTGTCAGTAGATGTCCAAACTGCATTCTATTACATACAAATATTTCCATATGTCTCAGTATATTAGCTCGCTTTGAAGGCTATTCTTAGCTTCCTTTGCTGTTGTAATTGCGCGTCGTCAGGAAAAAACAGTTTTGACTGATCAATCGSTGCGATTGTATATTGTATTGAAAGGTGTTTGTTGTTCAACTCTAGCGTCTTATTTGAGTCGTTAAACTTTAATATTGGAAACAATATATTATATATATATAGCATCGGCTTAGTCAACAAACAGTTTGAGAGAAGTATGCTTTATTTAGGATTGTTCTGCGTTATCTTAGAGATCCTTAATGTTGATTTGATGGTTGATTGAATTGACAGTTGATAAGACAGATGATGAACGCATTATTACACAGCCACTCCTCCCCCATATACTAAATATTTTGCACGGCTTACCTTCAACGTGAAGGGTCTTTATCACAATCTCTTCTGTACATTGACAGATGGAATCCTTTTCAAATAACCAAAAACGAAGCAGAAGATCTTCTGAAGTCATGTGACCCTGGATCGTTCGTCTTCTCGCATGATATGACATCAGAGCTATTTTTATCCCTCAGGTAGTACACCTTGTTAGTTGGGTGGA